GTAGCGATCCAGTTACTTCCTTCGCTTACTGGAAGTTGTCTCCAACAACATCTTCAGCTCTCTTTTTAGCTATTTCGTCTAGCTTGAGTTTGATGGCTGCTTCATGGATTCTTTTAGCCATCCGATCTTCCTTCGCACCTGTCCATAGAAGGGTATATCTTGCTATATTAGCTGCAAGCTTATCAGGGTTAGGCATAATATCCCTAAAAACAAGTTGATTACGACAGTTCCATATCCACCAGCAGCAGCAAGGAAGAAGCACTTTCCACACTTTCCTAACATCAAATGAGATTCCTTGATAATCATTAAGGAGGATCAGATCGTCAAAATGATGGTACCGAGTGACTGGGTTACTGCTAGGAAGCAGGGCAGCCCAAATTGATGACGCAAAAGGGCATTTAATGAAGAGGTGATCCATATCCTCCAGACAAGAAGAACAGAATGGACATCGAGGATCGCCATTCCATCCTTTAGATACCAAGTTTGCCCTGGTGTTAAGCCTCTGTTTACTAACAATCCAAAAGAAGACCTTAGTTTTAAGGGGGGTCGGGGATTTCCAGATGAAGTTGTATAGAGCAGATTTGATACCCCCAGAGGTCAGAGCCGTATAAAAAGATTTTACAGTGAAAATCCCAGAAGAATGTAGGGGCCACCACAATCTATCAGAAGCCAGACTATCAGAGACAGAGAAGTTATCCAAGAGAGAATGAAGATAACGAGTTCCCTGTCTATCTAAGAATATGCAATAAATTAGGTTCTTTTGTCAAATATTTTCTTCAGTTATACTAAAATTTGAAACATATTAAAGTGTAAAACTATTTTGTAGTTAACGAATTGTTATCTATTTTGAGAATTTGAGTCGTATAAACATTGTGGAAAGTCAAATTGTGAGAATAGGGGACTTGTTTTCGGTGGGGATCTTTTCCTCCACCAGTTTAATGGTTTTATTTTGTAGAAGCGGACTGAAAAAATAAGACCCATGACAAAGTTGTATGAAGAGCAAGTATACTGTCAAAACGACCACATAATAAGATGGATTGTTCGGAAGTTTATATCGGGAATTGTGACTAGTCAATCAATGATAAAAATCACACGATTTCTATGAGGCTAAATCGCACAGAAATATCTCGTAAAGTTGCTCATATTAACAATTATAAATAACACAAGTTACATTTTAGTGTGATATAGTAACATAAATTAAAATTTGCATGTTACTACTATCAATCAAGTAAATGTGAAAATTTTTCACCCTAATGTTTTTCTATGATACTATAAGTTTTCTAACGAATAATAAATTGACCAACTTCCTTGTTCTTAATTCTATTCAAAAAAAGTTTCTCTATGATACTTACGTAATAATTTTAGAGTTTTCTAATCATTAATATTTTCTAAAATTTTCATTAGAAAATAGAGTTATGATATTTCTAATAAAATTTTAAAAAAATATTAATGATTAAAAACTCTAAAGTATATAAGTATCATAGAGAAATATTCAGATAAAAAATTTCATATTCGTATGATCGATGACAGTAACATGCAAATTTCAGAAGCTTTATAATAATTTTTGTACTAAAATGCAACTTGTGATATTTAGTTGTTAAAATAGTGCAGCAAAAAAAGTGTTAAAATAGAAAATTGTATGATATTTTTGTGCAATCTGTAAGGATAGTTTTGATATGATCTCTACGGTATCTACTACAATACAAAGACGTAAGGTTACGGAGTCAAAAGAAACACGTAAGGTTATGCCTATTTACAGGACACGTGTGTATGCAGATGCAGCCCAATAGTGGTATTTGATGGGCCTTAGTGAACGAACTAGCAAAATGGGCCACAGCCCCGCCGAAAGGCCGCATTTGTTTCTTTTGTAAGGATTCTTATTAATGAAAACATGCCGAATATCATGCGAATCAATTGGTGAAAAGGGCAACAAATTCAATACTTTGCACCTTCAACTATGTAAGTACTAATTAGTGGAACACATCCTGCATTTATCTACTGCTATTTTAAGATGTCGTTTGACTTTAAAGAGAATATGCTAAGAAAAATAATCGAGTCAATCAATTTTTTAAATCTTAACAATTATTTAGGGTTAATTTTAATAAAACCCTCTGTAGGCCTGTCTATCCGGCCCGGCCCGGCCCAATTTTCCGAGCACGGGTCAGGCAAAATCGGAGCCCGGACCCGGGCCCGGGCCTGAGCGGGGCGGGCTCCGGACCAGCCCGGTTTTTCAAGAAGACAAATTTTTTATTTTTCAAGAATACAAAGCAAAAAAATAAACACAATTTTGATAAAAAATATATATTCTTAAGCAATAATAATTATGTAATTTATAAATATAAAAAAATATAGAAATTAAAATGATAAAATGATATAAAATATTGAAGAATTTATAGAAACAAACAAAAATAAAAATAATTGTAGAATTCAAAGAGCCCCAAGTCCGAATCAAAGAACTCTAAATTATATTGTGGCTAGGATTTGAACCACTAACCTCCTCTCCAAACTTCTAAATTTTACCACTAGACTAAGTAACCCATAGTATTCATGTCATTCAATATATGTATATGTATATGTATATATACACACACACACACATATACATATATTATACATAAACAAATTGTATTATACATAAACATATATATATATATATATATATATATATATATATATATAATAAGTATATAATGATTATAATATATATTAATAATATAGAATTAATATAAATTATATATATAGATAATATAATTATATAAATATATAAATAATGGGGCCTATCAATGATGATTTCCCTCTTACACCTAGGGCACACATCCCTAACCAACCACACTCTCTCCCCTACTTAGAGAGGATGTGAGATGCCACATAGGCGTCAATATAGGAAAATCCCTTCCTTGACAATAGATCTCATAATCTATATATATACATATATTATAAACTATTAATTATATATAATATAAAGTATATATAATATATATAGTATATATATATATATATAATATATATATATATATAATATATAGATTTATAAACTTATATACTATATAACTGTATAACTGTATTTTACTATAACACATATAAGTATATTATATAAGAGTAAATATATGATATATTATATCATATATAAAAGTATACTTTATAATACTTCTATAAAAGAGATAGTTACATAATTTATCACATAATATATACAAGAGTAATATAGATAATATTAGACATATAAAGAATGAATTAATACATATATTTAACAGATATAATAACATTACATAAAGGAAGAGATATATATTGATATATAATTTATACAAATATGAAGAGTAAATATATATCATATACATATATAACGAGAAACTATATAACAACATATATAGACAAAGAATACTTATACATCATAATAATAAGGAACTTTAATATACTAACCAAGAGAGAGATAAAATTATTTATATAATAATATATATATATATATAATAATATATATAATATATATAATAGTATTATATATATATAATATATAATAAAGTACATATAAAATAAACATAAAAATTACATTCCGCCGCAAGCCCTCCCGGGCCATCGGCCGTCGAGGCGCCCGACACCCCGACTTCGTCGGGCCGGGCTTTTGAACCCCAACATGAATAAAGATCACCAAGAAAACCTCCATCAACTATTTAACTTTAAAAAACCCCGCTCAATTATGGAGTTATTGTAGATAACCCCCTCAACTTTCAAAAGGTTATTTATCCTCCCTCAACTTTTCTCATTTAACCCCTTAAACTAATATAATTTAAATCTAAAGGAATAAATGATTTAAAATTATTATACTATCCCTAAGACGTTAATTTTTTTACCATATTGATCCTTTTCAACTATTTTTGTTAAAAATAACTTTTATTTTATTCCCCCTTCTTATTCCTCCATCTTTGTTGTTAGGTTTACGTGCAAATCTAATTTTTCTGTTTTGAAACGCTAAAGTTCTTCTATTTTCTTCTTATCCATGCTTGTAATGTTTGAAACAATTGAAACTTTTAAATTACTTTTGAACATTAGTTTACTCATCAAAACCCATCAAGTCGAAGTCTAAAATTTTGATTGGGTTGGGTTTTTAAACTCACATGATTTTTTTTCAACCAATGATAATTTAGTCATTGCATATTTCAAATTAACTATTAGGGGGTTATTTGAAAAAACTAGAATGATACACCCCATAGCTAAGGAGGGTTTATTCATATTTTGAAAGTTTTGCAGGGTTGTCTACAAAACTCTCAAATTTAAGGGAGGGAGGGGGGGCGGGGGGTGTTTCTAAAAGATAAAATAGCTGAGTGAGATTTTCTGAGACAAGGCGCCATAGGGGGGGTTGTTTCTAGAATTAACCTAATTATTTATCATGAATAAATGATTCTTAGGCGTATCCACATAAAGTGGGGTCAAGTGTCCCCATTTTGCTCCCGCTCTACAACGTCCACAAACTACATTAATACATAACCATTTTGTAAACCCGCCCCTATTGAAAAAACACATTGCTAAGAATTTAAAGTTATATATATCCCACTAAAATCTCAAATCATCTCACTGATTGGGTATCAACTAATTAAAAAAGTTGTATTTGACAATATTACTAGTGATGTGAGAATGTATTTTTTTTTTAAATATGAAAACAAGATACAAATAGCTGTAAACTTTAAAATTATTAATTACATAATAACACCACCTAACAAAAATATAAAGTGATGCCACTTTTCAGAAATCATGGATCCAACATTGAATAAACCCACATTTCTTTAGACTTTAGTGATCTTAAAAATCACCAATTGCAAATAATTTATAAGATTAATTTTCCCCGCTATTTTCCCCTTTTGATTGATAAAACGATATTTGCTTTATTAATGGACTGTTTGTTTAATTAAAAACACGATAGTAAATGCTGCTGAGTTACTGCATGCACATATCACGAAATAGAAACCCAAAAAAAAGCAAAAGCAGAATAAATTTCTTGTTTTTTTTATTTATACTATTCCCCACCCTTCAGTTCGAAATCAATCTCCTCGATTCCCCTTTCGCATTCAATTCTCTTGCACTTCTCGCCACTTTCTCCTCACTCTTTACTCTCAACTAAATAAGAAAATGGAAGAACCCATTTCCTTAGCTTTCAAATCTCCAGCTATTTTTGTGACTAAACATAACTAAGCCCTCTTCTTCCTCCTCTTGATAGGCTTTGAACTAATCAAACCCAAGTGGGGGGGAAAGGGAAAGATAGTGATCAATGAGGTCTTTTGGGTTCTTGATTCTGCTCTCTTTCACTGTTTCAGCACTCATCGTCAGCAAGAGCAACAGCATTGCAGGTTTTACTCTATCCTTATATTTACCTTTTTTTTTAACGTGGAGTCTTAAGTTGTTAGTATAGGATTTTAGATGCTCTAAGCGGAAATGCAGGAAACGTTTTCTTAACATCTAAACGAATGATCTATTGCATAAATCAATTGGATTAAGAATTAGGAAAAACAATTACCTCTTGATGCGTGTTCAAAGCCTTCTCTAATGGAGAGATTGAGAGTCTCACTTGAAAACTCCTCTAGTTGATCCACCCGAGCAAAGATCTGGATCCTTAGAAATCAACTGCTAGGTTGAAGATGATAGGAGAGAAAGTAGTAACACTTTCACGTATATAGAGAAAGTGGAATTGGATTGGATTTTTTAAAAGAAAAACCACTCTTATTTATAATCCACAAATTAAAGTCATATTTAATTCTATAATTAAATATAATCCACTAATTAAAGTCATATTTAATTCTATAATTAAATATTATCTTTTATAACATTTATAAATAAATTTATCCTTTATTTAACAATAACTCCTTATTATTAATAAACTCTATTTCGAAGTTATATCTTATATAACTTTATATTATAATTCTCCCAATATATCCAGTCCATAAACTCTTAGGGTGTGACCTCGTAGGACCCAATTATAATAGCAATGAACTTTATAACATAAAGTCCATAAATCATAGTTGGCTTCTACAAAAGCACTATGATTACCTAAAATAACCGGATTGTAAATCTCCATTAAATGTCCCATTTTATAATTAGTAATTGCACATTCAATTAAAGGACACAATTCCTTCAGTTAGAATGATGTTATTTGCGCATCTATTATTATGTGGGTAAACATTAGTCCGCTGACTGTTTGACGTTTTGTCTTGATCTCTGTTGGTTACCATAACGGAGGGAGGAAGGAATTGCACCAGCTATAATAAGTTGATTGTTGTGATGTAAACAAGAAGAGAAGTTGATGACATGAAGAAGATTTTACTGAAGTTAGAGTGAATTGATGGGGTTCTAATAGTGTAAATCAAATATGACTTTTCCATTGTCTGTATGAAGAGGCTTTTGGAGTCAAACAATAGGCAGTTGAATCTCTCAACAGAGCTAACAAGGGTTATTCCCTATGCATGTATTTTCAGATTTCCTGCATTGTCACTCCCGTGCATGCTTAAGGATTGTTGTATCCGCGTACGTAGCCAGTTCAATTCTTGTTACTTACAATTTAAAGAGAATTTAAAGAAAAATAACATTGCATTAGTCTAGTTTTTCGGCCTGTGGAAAGGGCGCTCAACTTATGGAGCATGTTAGAATAGGAAATTGTAACTTTTAACTCTCACAACTCTGAAATTTTGGCGTAGTGGAAGGGATGTTAACGAATAGTGAAGACGTTAGTTGTCCAGTGACTTGTATATCCCAGAGTGGATGCCAGATACTTGCACACCTTGTTAGTTATTATAGTGTTATGTAGTTTAGAAGAAAAAAATGCATTTTTTGATAGTATGGGTTCTGGTACTAACATAGTGGTACTTAACCACCGGAGCAGCCTCAGACTCTCTCAATTTAGCTCATTTTATTTTATGGAGAAATTTGGCATAATTTCTACAATTGAGATGAGTAATTAGGTTTAGCGAGGCTCTTTATCTGATTGATTGTGATGTTGTATTGATATAGCAGAAGCATAACCGAAGAAGATAACTACTCATTCTCGTATGAGGAAAACGATACAAACCCTAGAAAGGCCCAAGAATAGAAAACTTTCTGAAATACTAATAATCAATGTGAAGAGTCTCACAAATTCGTTCCCCTTGTATATGGTATAAAACAATGCAAAAGTACTAAAATCATCTTTCTTAAAGCAAATAGATCTCCTAAAAATAAAAGATGTTTCATAAGATCTAGAAACTAGATTAGACCAAAACTCTTTGACGTGCAGTTTGAACCTGAAGACGATTTCCTTTGACCCTAAAACTTGGTTAGAACGACAAATTGTCTGACTTGTAGAGCACTTACCGACTTTACAAAAACATATAATAATAGCAATTCTATGAAGAGAGTCAAAAGTTACAGTCCATTGAAGTTGCACGTCGAAATCTGGCTAAAAATCACTCTCTTTTCTTGGATTGTCCAAGCTTCGCACGATTTGATTCTTCGCCCAAAAAGCATTAGCAATTACCTCCACATCTTACCCCGATTTTGGCTGGAGATAAAGTGGCACGTCAGGATGGAAGTGTCACTTTGGGATGGAACTCCGTCAAGTCAGCAACATTGAAGGTAGGAGAAATATTGGCCAAAAAACACTAAATAACTTCACAATGTAGACATTATCATTGAGTCGTCGTAGTATGCGGCATGGGCCAACCTTTTTCATCTCGAGCTTGTTGTATGGGCGTACAGGAAATCGTTCTTTGTGCAGGTTTATTATGATCAAACAGTTTTTGACGACAATGCAGATCATCATCAAACTTGTACTTAGTATTCCATGCTTCAAGCTTCTTCTGCACTTCAGCTTGAATTACCTTGATGTGCTCGGTCATGTCAACACCCTACCCTTGACCCTTATGCAATTTTAGCATGTCCACAGCATGGTTGGGTTTACACTGATAAACAATCTCAAATGGAGTCTTCTCTAGAGAACGGTTGACAACACTATTGAAAGCAAACTCCGCTAGTGTAAGAAATAGATCTCACTACTTAGGCCGGTCTCCATAAATACTACAAAGCGAGTTTCCTTATATCTAGTTGACCACATCTGTGTGCTCATCAATCTGTCGATGGAACGAGCTGCTGAACTGCAACACTGTGCAAAATAACCCTTACAATGTCCTCCAAAAGTGGCTGAGAAACTTGAAATTAGGATCAAAAGTAATAGACTTTGGCACGCAATGTAAACAATCTCTCGTAAAAAGAGATGAGCAATGTTAGACGTATCGCTAGTCTTCTTACATGCAATAAAGTGAGCCATCTTTGAGAACCTGTCCACCACTACAAAGATGGAATCTATACCCCACTGTGAACAAGGTTTTAAATATCGGCCGACATATTCGACATGTCGGCCGACATATCGGTTTGAGGGCTTGACCGACACGACATGGACGTTTTCAACTCGTATATCGGTTTTCAGGGTCAAATCGGAAATATCAGGGTCATATCGGGCATATCGGCCTATTTTTTAGCTTTGCAAAATCGACCGATATGGTACTTTTTTTTAAGATCTGTTTTTTGTTCGGGTTTGGGTTTAGTGATAAATACCCAAACCCGTTTGACCCGTTCTCATGTTTAAGGGTTCCTTATGAACCCGATAGAAAGAATTTATGAACTCAAATCCATATATTATTTACTTTTTATATGTTTAGTCTATAGAATTTATAAAGTATGCTTATATTAAATTTATGAATGTTTAGATTACATTTAGGACATGATATTATACATATGCGCACTATCCGATATGGCAATCCGATATTTAGTCAATGTCCCCCGATATATCCCCGATTTCCGCTATCCGATATGGATTTTAGCCATCCGACATGAACCCGACATCCGATATTTAAAACCTTGACTGTGAATGAGGAAGGCCAAGCACAAATTCCATCGAAATGTCTTCTCATGGGACGTTGGGTACAGGAAGATGTGTATAAAGACCTATGTTTTATGACCACTCCTTAGCGGTTTGGCATGCCAAATACTTCTTGACAACTTTGTCAACATCTGTACGCAAATGTGGCCAAAAATACTGCTCATCCACTAATGCGATCATTTTATCACAACTTAAATGTCCCACTAGGCCACCTCCATGGAGCTCTAGAATGAGTTGCTCGGGCAAAGATCCATATGGAATACAAAGCCTATTCTGAAAGAAAAGAAACCCATCCTAAATAATTATGGTGCCCTAGTGTATTCGCGATGCAAGCCACCCAATCATCATGAAAGTCCTTATCATCTACATATAGATCTTTCAAGCAATCTGTAGGACCCTAGAGGGGGGTGATTAGGGTCTTATGCTAATCTAATCCGATTAAATGCCAATTAAAAATAATTAACAACTATATTCTTGCAAGATAGGTATACAATCTATAATGGGCAAGAATATGCAATATACACAAAGTGATATATCCTATATGATGAAATATATATGAGTATATGAGCAAGGATATATAAACTCAAGGGTAAACAATCTAAACTAGATAGTGGATGATATAGATAATGAGCTAATGACAATGGCGATATAAGATATGAACATAAATATGAAAGAACGCCAAAGCACACTCAAACAAGCAATATGATCACGGAGTTCGGACCTTCCGTCCTACGTCTCCGCTCCCCACTCCCGGGGAGAAATCCACTATCACAACCGGGTTTTCTACGCTCACCCGAATAACGTTTACACCTCACAGTGTCGGTTTTCAACGCTCACCGATCAACGTTCACACTCACCCTCACAATGTCGGTTTTCAACGTTCACCGATCAACGTCCACTCCTCACACTCGGTTTTCTAGTTCACCGAAAACTTCACAACACACTCGGTTTCTAGCTCACCGAAAACCTTACAACACTCACAAAGTAAATACAACAAATTTGTTCTCTACAATAGATGAGAACACAATGTAGCACAACTCAAGGTTACAATCTCTCACCACCCAACTATACTATGCAATGAAAGATACAATAAGCTCAATGTGGGTGTGTGTGACAATGAGTAAAATAAAATCTAACTCAATTAACAAACTAGCAATAATAAGAATATGAAAATCAATAATGAAATTGCTAGAGAAAAGAGTTAGAAAACTTCTCTATAAACACAAAGAAGAGGATGAAGAGGATTGAGAATGAATCCCTCAATCTACAGTGAAAACTTCCTCCTTTGTAAACAGAAACCCAAACTCAAAACAAACAGTAAAACCCTAAACCCTTGCTTAAACTTTTCTTTTCTTTTAAAACATTTCTTAGTTAGCTTGAGAGTTGAAGACAATGGGGTATTTATACCCTCTCACAACTCAGCCAAGAAACCAGAGCAAAAGA